GCGTCGCTCCTCCTGCAGAGGCCAGGGTTGAGGAGCGGCAGGAAAGTGAAGCTGCCAGCAAACAAACCAGCAGGACAGACAATCAGTTGGTAAGCACTGGGAGACATGAACTGGTCAGACTGGGAAGCTTCAGGATCATCTTTGCCCCACATCAGGATTTGACTTAGGTAGCACCAGTTTGCTGAAACGTGAAGTTAATACACACCAGAACAAGAGGTTGTACGAAGGGATCAGCTCATTCAAATAACAAAGTTGTTGTATAACTCTGCTTAAGTCTTTAAAACTCTGACACCCAAATACAATGGATGTGAATCAGATTCTGTTAGCGCTGGTCACATCACTGCAATGGAGATTTAGAAAACATTTTAACAACAGTTTATGAACAAACAGCGTCGGTCTCTGTTTAGACTGTCTACACACTCAGAGCAGTTTTCTTTGGTAGAAACCAGTAGTTCCAGTGAAAACTGATCCCAGTGAGACACCAGTGAAACTCCTTTCAGCTTCGTTGTGTTGGAGGTCACGGCAGAAATCTGAAAACCTGCAATGAGGAAGGCAAACACCACCAGATGCATGTGATAGGAAATGTAATCTGGGAGAACTGATGTCAACAGAGTAAAGAGAAAAAAATAATGAATGGCCAGGGACTTATTCAAGTTCCAAATCATGTTTTACCAAGGTTTATTGTGCCTTTTATCGTGTTAAAATTCTTAGAGCAGTGAGAAATGGGAGCCTGACTGATCAATTTGCAGAGAGTTTGTAGTTGAGCGTAACGATTTTAGAATCAAACTTAAGGGAACCTCAAAGAATATTTGTTTATATTAAAAAATGTGTGGAATATTTTAAAACCTTTTTTCTTTTTATTATTGGTTCCTGGTAAAAACAGTTCTACCAAAAATAATATCAAAATGTAGATGTAAAAAAACCTTAAATGACTGCGATTACTAAGTGTGACTAATAATTATGGTCGTATCTCAGAATGTAGTGATAACGAGCCTGAATTTATTCATCTAGATTGGAACAACAAGCTGCGTTTACATAGACACGTTTCTGTAAGACCTCACAGGCCTCAGACGTGCTTTGGCAGTTCTGTGCTGCAGTTTGTTACCTAGCAGCTGCCAAACATACTGACGCTTACAAACGTGTCCCAGGGCTGAGATAGTGAGCTACAGTTATGCACAGTAGACTTGGTTTTGATCATGAGAATCAGCCAAAGATCACGCTCGTCCCTGAATGTTAAATCATACATTATATTCTGTGACAACAATGTGTAAGACTGCACAGTGTTCTGCTGTCCACAGACCAGGAGTGAAAGTTCTTTTCAACCAGTTTCATTGTTCATGTTCAGATGAGTCACTGCTCTTACCCCAGCGCTCAATCATTACCCGAGCTGTTCATGAGAACAGGTGACCTGAATGTGTGAAGGGGAGCAGAAACAAAAACAAATCAGAGCTGGATGTTCTGAACGACATGATCCGTGAGGAGGACGTCTGCGATTGGAGCAGAGGGAGGTGTGTGGAGGAGCGGTGACGTTTCCTCAGAGCGTAGAGAGGCTCCGCTCTCAGGAAAGTCTTGTTCTGTGTGTGATGATACTGTCCGCCCTGCTGTGCCTGAGGCTGTAGGTGCAGTTTTTGTGTCTGAGTAGAGTGTGAGCTGGGTGGAGTGGATCCCTGATTATGTTCTCTGCCCTTTTATGACAGCGCTGTGTGTACAGTGTGTCCATAGCAGGCAGTTCAGTCCCAGTGATCCTCTCTGCAGTCTTTATGACCCTTTGAAGAGCCTTCCTCTCTGCCTGTGTGGTGTTGCCATGCCAGATGAGGATGCTCTCTACTGAGGATGCTCTCTACCAGTCCTCTATAAGCCTGGGTGAGAGGGTGATGGTTCAACCCAGCTTTTCTGAACCACCTGATGAAGTATAGCCACTGCTGGACTTTCTTCACTGTGGCAGCTGTGTTCAGTGACCAGCTCAGCTCAGGTCAGGTCAGGTCAGATGTCACCTTCAGGCCCAGGAACTTGTGGCTGTCAGCCCTCTCCACCTCAGTCCCTTTGATGGTCAGAGGCAGCAGGGGAGGGGTTCTTCCTGACGTCTACTATTATTTCTTTGTCTTGTTTATGTTGAGGATGAGGTCATTCTCCTCTCCATAAACTAGAATGTCGTTCACCAGAGAGCTGAAGTGAAAGAAAACACCTTAGTAGTGGGGTGTTTTAAAAAATAGCTGAATAATGTTGTTTGTCCATTTTAAGGAACACCATATAAGCCTCTGTTCACAGGCTAAATGTCACATCAGTGCTCAACTGCCTTGCCCGCTGCACATCCACTCCCTCTGTACACCCTCAGGGCTCATCCCTTATACAGAAGGTCACTTGTGGATCCAGTCTGAGTCCTCTGGCTGCTTTTAACCCTCTCCATGTCAAACAGCCAAACCCATGTTAACCCTGGTTGTTGCTCTTTCTTTGTCCCACTCTCTCTTTGCTAAAGACGCCACCTCTTCACTCTGACAGCCGCTGGTTCAGACTTTTAGCTGCCCAGAGCTCCTCCATGGCTGTTTGACATGACTACTGGCTGGAAAAACCCTTCTTCTAACCTTGGCTAGGCGGCAGGCGGGGCTGATTTACAGACCGTACTTTGACAACACAGGGTGGAGAAGCTGGAATAACAACAGGAGGCTGTAGGCAGCAGAGGGTCATGGAGGGGGGGGTGTAGCCGAGAGACACCATGTCCTGGTGTTGTAGTCGAGTCACTAAACCTCAAGCCTAGGTCGAGTCTCAATTCCCCAGTGTTTCGAGTCCAAATCAAGTCCAAGACAACAAAGAATAGTCCAAATCAAGTTTCCGTTACCTGAATCCGAGTCATCACGGTCTACATTACCTCCAACTGACAGTTTTTAGCTACAGCCTCCTCTTATTCACCAGTCTAGTACTGAGGATTCCTGAGAGTGTTAAGTGTCTATGTCAAACATCCCTGTGGCGAACCTCAGCTGTTTGCAGGGTGGGAGTGACCAGCTGCTGTGCTCTCTGCAGGCGCTGCTGTCGAGCCGTCTGGAGAAACTGTTTCAGAGCAGCTTCCCTCAGTCTGCCACTGCCCTGGTGGAGGATGACAAGGTGGTGTCCTTGAAGATCCTGCTAGAGCCTCTGGAGGACAAACCCCAGCCAGGAGCTGAGATGGAGCAGAGGCCGCCATGCAGCAGGTGAGTGTGTGTGACCGACAGTAATTGAAAGCAACACGTGTGGGGCATCTTTTGTCACCTCAAACAAGGTTTGAATGGCTGAGGCCTTTGACTGAAAGCTTGCATACTACGTCCTTCGGCACTTTAGTCATCTGCTCCCTGTTCAGTCTGAGCCATGGCTTTCTTTTATTGAAAGGGAGAATGAATGGACCTTGTGAGTAACAAAGAACAGACTTGTCTGTGAGCTCCAGCACCAGACTCATCTTCTGCTGCATTCACTCGTCACATCAAGGTTTAGTGTCAGTAAATAAATCCTAACATGTTACTGTGCTTTCAGTATTAACAGCAGCAGAGCACGAATGTTGGCATGTAAGGCTCTGCAGCGTAACTCCACTCAATCACTGTAATGTTATAGACACCTGATCATGTTTAGAGAACTGGTGGTCCTCCCAGGTTGTCTGCAGCATGTATGTAACCTGAGAGGCAACACCCAGGGCAGCAAAGGTAGAAGAAGCACAGGCGATTGAATGCACAGTAACAACTGAAGGCAGTGTATCAATACCTCAATCAACACTGAGGTGTCTGCACTGTGGGGGCTGGATAACATGAAAATATGGAGGTCAGTGAGAAACTCACTGCATCACAACAGAGGTGGGTCTGCTCGGGTGTGATGGCTCATTTTAGTGAAGCTTCAGCTACTGTGAAGACAAGGACACAAACCCTGGGTGTAGTCTGCACAGGAAGACAGATGTGTGTTCACGTCACAGGCCTTACGGAATCTTCAGCTGTGAGGCGAACGCAGTTTTCAAACCTGTGGGCAGAGTCTGTGTCAAAGCTCGCCCAAAGGTGTTGTGAACCCTCTGCCTTGAGTTCCACTTGGACGCACTGACGCTGAGCTTGTTGTGCTGTGATAGCAGTGTATGTTCTTGTTCTTCCCAAGGCTTGATAACAAAAAGTCAGGCACGCTTCATTTCCTCCATAATAACCCATTACAGAAAAGCCTGAGCCTGGTTTCTAATCTGTCCTGGTGGTTTGTCATGTTCTCATTCACACTTGTTTTGTTTTCTACACCAATGCACCTGTCCTATGAATATTTAGTCTCTTTGAAAGACCTGTTGGTACCTTGTCTCTGATCCCTGCGGCGTCTCATTGGTTGGTGCAGGCCTGTGCGTGTGTGGACGCAGCTTCAGGACATCCATGAGGCGCTGGGCCTCAGGTACCAGTGGGGGGGCTCCCATTGCAATAAAGCACTGCTCTGCTGCCTGGGCATCGACACCCGGAACATTGTAAGTCTCTAAACCAAGGCTAGGGTCAAAACATTTGATCAGATCTTTTATCTAAACTTCTCAGTGAATTTTAAAGAAATAAAAATATTCTGATTCTGAGTAAAGGGATTTGTTATTGCAGCCTAATGAATTTGATACAAACTGGATCTGTCTGTTGCGTTATAACCCAGGATTTCTCTTACTGAATCATACCGGATGCAGTCTCTTTTCTGTTTTTGTGTGGAATTTTATTGCAGTGAACACATGTTCATACCTTAAACACGTTCATACCTTAGTATGAACAACCCCCTCATATGATCTGCTCAGTAGCAGTTTTACATGAGCTCTGTGTGATGCTGCTGACTTGTCTGACCTTTGATGTTGCAGCTATTCACAGGACAGAGGAAGCAGCCTGTCATCGTGCCCATGTACGCCGCCGGCCTGGTGAGTGGTGTGTCTGCTTAAACTGTCTGCACCAGAACTGCGGGCGGTGGCCCCTCAGCAGCTCTGAAGCTTCATCAGCATCGGTAGTTTTAGAGACTGCAGTCGCAGAAGTCCTGAACAGTCGCATTATTTATATAGATGAGTTAATAAGCTGACAGAAGAAGTGTCATCAGTCCTGATAGGTGTACAAGACACTCTTCAAAGAAGAGCAGCAAACGTTCTCTGCTCTGACGTTTTCCTGGTGGTTTTTTTGGGGGGGGTTCTTTTGACTAACTAAATATCCCTGTGACAATTACAGAATTCTCCAGTGAAACTAAGGTCTGCCTTCATTGTTTACATGATTATATTGACATATTTAAATCAATTAGAAAGAAAGTCACTTGCGGCTTTTCCCGTTTAGTGGTCGCCACAGCAAATCGTCACACTGACGACTCGCATATTAACATTTGGCTGTGTTTGGACGTGTTTTATGCCGGATGCCCTTCCTGACACAACCCTGATTCGAACCCGGGGCACAGCGGCGAGAGTGCTGCGTCTTAACCACTAGCCTACCAGGGACGGCGACATATTTAAATCAATTATGAACCGTCAATCCGTCACCTGTAATGCTACGGTCTGACTTCTGTTATTATGAGCCACATTTACACACGTTAGCTTCTGGCTTCCTTCACTGCTTCTCAGCCTCGTGCACATTTTTCACACCACATTCGGGCGTCAGGTTTGTGTGACTACACTGCAGCAGGAACAAGCTGCACACACTGCACCAGCAGTGCAAACACAGACCCGTGCATCTCTTTTCATATTGTTTGCTCACATATTTGCCTTTGCACATTAGTAAATGTACATGCGCATAAACCCGCATTTTGTTCACTTTTTGTTGTGATGTTTACACTAAGTGACCACATTTTCTTATTGTTGCTTCTCCCTATCACACTGAGATGTTCTAGAGAAATCCTATATCCAGCCCGACTTACCTGATGTCTCTGGGTCCTTTGCTGTCCTGCTGTTCACCAGCTGTGTGTGTGTGGTTTGCAGGGGATGTTGGAACCAACCAAAGAGCCCATGAAGCCCGTCTCTGCAGCAGAGATGATTGCCTCGATAGCCCAGGCGCCTCCTGTAGCTCCAGAGAACAGCTCCTGTCCCTCAGACTCAGCCCAGGTGAGACCTCAGGGTGTCTCTGGCAGACCACAGCACAGAGACTTGTTGAGACCCAGCTGTTGCTTAAAGGATAATACTGGTGTTTCTCTACAGTTTTATTGTTGTGATCATGTTATGGAAAAATCCCAAACTGTTTGTCTTAATACTCTCTGTTGCTCTCAGCCTCGAGCCCCATGGTTCCAACTAAAGACGCGCTTTTAAAAATAATCACAAATGTAGAGCTTCATATTTAAAACTCTCACTAGTTTCCTCAAACAGCTGCTCAATAGCTTTTATGAGACAACCAGGAGGAAACGGCGCATGGGTTGGACTGTTTTCAGTGGCGAATGAATCCTCATTTGGTCTCCGGCGAGTCTTAGTGGCGGCAGGATGGCGAGTCAGAGTAAACTCCAGTGTGTGTTCACAGTGATGTCAGCCAGTGCAGCAGTGTGGTCACTGATGGGTTAAATACTTTCTGGACACAGTGGAGCTCAGAGGGAGGAGAGAGAGCAGTTTTAAATCTCAACAGTAGGGGGCTTCCTCCCCCCTGTGTGTGAGTGTGTGTGAACTGGCTTTCTGACCTCCTCTGTGCTCCCCCAGCAGGAGGCCCTCCCACCGGTCCAGTTCGATTGGAGCAGCAGCGGCCTCACCAACCCTTTGGATGGTAGGTGACCCCCCGCCGCCGCCCTGACCCCTCTCTGCCTGCTCTCATCTTCCTCACACTGGACTAACCCCGCAGTGTTTCGTGCTCACATGTTGGCAGCTCCCGTTTCACATCCTGTCACATCAGTAATGTGTTTGTAGTTACATTAAAACCCTTCGTCTTTAAAGCAAAAATCCACAGTGAACACCAGAGTGCTGTCAGTGACTACAGGCAGCGGTCGAACAAAGCTAACGGCTGGGCCCCCACAGAGTTGGAGTCCTCAGAGGGTTACTGGGTAGGACCTAAGAAAATCAAAACCTTCTGCTTGTCAGGTTCTGATAACTTGTTCAGGCCTCTGACCACATTCTCAGTGAGCAGACTGCTCAAAGTGTTTATTTGTCATGTGCACAGTTAGGAAATGTTTTTCTCTGTACAATGAAATTCTTCCTTTGCCGTCCACATGAATGTCATAAAATACAAATGAAATATAAAGTAGATAAATAAGTAACACAAAATCTAAGGCGCTTTAGGCAGCAACAAATGCAGCAATATAATAAAAACATACACAACTTGGTGGACAGACAGGAAGAGCAGAGGTGCGCTGAACTGTGGTTAATCCCCCTGCGTCTCTGCAGAGCTGGGGCACTAAAATGGTTTCTGGTTGTGCTTTCTCATGTGCACTCACAAATAATTAGTTAAATGAGGCACAAATTGGGATTCACTGAAAGTGAACTGTACGTGCATCACAGTGTTGTCAGACAGACAGAGCTGGTGTCACTGGAAATATTTTGATACTGGTAACGACACGATGCAGGATTATAGCTGAAGTTCAGGATTTATAGCAACGTGAAATATAACGGTTTACAAAATCCAGAGCTTTTAAAAGTCTGTTTGATCAAACAAACAGGAGGAGACATGTAGTGCATGTGTTGGGGACTATTTTCATCAGTGGATGAATCCACATTTCTAGTGAGTGTTAGTGGCAGCAGGACATTGTGTGGGACTGAATCAGAAAACACTAGAGTGTGAGTTGATGCTGATGGAGGAGCAGCTGAACAAGAGCTCTGCCTCGATGAAATCCAGTCTAAAACTGAAAATCAACCAGGACAAAGTCAACGAGCGTATTAATCTGGTCCAGACAGCGTGAGGACGTGGCAGTGGATTTTTCCTTTAAACCCGAGTCTCTGTCAGCTGTTTGGTGTTGTTAAATCTGCTCTGCATGAAGTGTAGAAATGAGCCAGTCTAACATTTCTCTGACACTGCAGCATGTCTGGTTTCTTCTCTCTGTCTCTCTCCGTCTGTCTGTTAACCTCGGCCGCCCCCGGCTGTGCAGCGAGCGGAGGCTCGTCTCTGCTAAACCTGGATTTCTTTGGTCCTGTGGAGGATTCAGGCTCCACCAGCTCCCCTTCCATCCCAGGTCAGCAGTTGCTCACCTCCTCGTCTTTACACTAACCGCCCCCAAAGTAACGCTCACATGGGGGGCGCTGCAGGACCACTTGCACTGTTCATGGCTGCATCTGGGTCATCATAGAATTTAACCCTTTGTGCTGATGTGTGAAACTGGGGGCAAACAAGTGCTGGAATGAATGAGGTTTAACTGTGGGAGTACCGACCGTGCACAGCCATGTTCTGTGTCAGCGTGCACCACCTGCAGGCTCCTGCAGACCGAGCAGAGTTTATTGTCCAGTTAAAGGAGGATTTCAGTAAGTTAAAACCAGTCAGGCTTCCTGTTGATTAGTTACTGTAAATGAATTGTTTCAGAAGGCAGGAAAAAGAAATCCCATTGTTGAGGCTCCTTTGTCCCAGTTGTCACGTGGGGGAAAGTCGACTTGTGCACGTTTACGTTTTTAAAGAGAGGCTACGATGGAGCAGTCTGACACTGCGTTAGCGCCCGTTCTTCACACTGCTGCTGAATAAAGAGTGACTAACGTTTCAGTGCAGCTGTTGCACATGTGATGTGAATTAGCTGCAGGTGAAGAAATGGAGGCTGCCAACATTAGCACACTGTTTAAAAGAAATAACCAGGAGAGAGAAGGTTTACTAATAGCTTCGATAGTGTTGTATCTTTGAGTCCAGGGATTTTCTAACAGGGACCTGGATCTGTCAGAACCAGCCCAGCACTGTGGAGCGAGCATGAGATAAAACGTAGCTCCATGATGCAGTTGGTAGAAATGTCCTCAAGTTCACTCATAAATGTGGAGCTCACCTCATTTGAATGTCGATGCTGCATCAGAGACAGTTTTCCTACAGGCGCTCACAGCATTAGAAAGCATTGAGTTCCCCGTCCACAACAAGTCTGACAGTTCATTTACACCTGTGTTAAACTGTGGCTTTTGCTACTGCAGACGGCGTCAGCAGTGAAAGGTTTGTGTGTGATAGTCGTGACTGCAGAAGGCTGTTTAATCCAATGTGGTCACTGCTGCTACAGCTCAGTTTCTCATAACAAGTGTTGATTTTTTTTTTAGCAAAACCGTAAATGGGTTTAACCATGAATCTGTTTGTCTGCTATTCTGGATTCAGGTTACATGAATGCAACTCGGTCACTGATAAATCCTGATGATGTGATATATTCAGTAGTTCAGGCCCTATGCTTTCATGCTTTGGGTTCCTGGTTTGAGCACAGGAGTTCGATCCTGTTCTGAGCTGTTAGTCTTGAGGTGAACCTGCAGAGACCCTGAGCTGGGCTCACCGTGTTTGTCTCTGCCTCCATCACTTCTCTCTGTCTCCGGTTCAGGTGTGGACCCTGAGCTGTACGAGCTGACTACGGCCAAGCTGGACCTGGGCGGCTCCGGGAGCCGGGTGGCGGACGCCTTTGCCCGCCTGATGTCCACTGTGGAGAAGACCAGCACCTCCACCAGGTCAGAGAGAGGGCCTTGGGTGGTGTTTTGTTTGCAGCAAACCCAGACAGTCAGGCCTCGGGGTGACACCAGCTAATGGTTTGAACAACGGTGCCACTGATTGTCTGGAGGAAGGAGGACTCTGTGATCTCTGCTCTCTGGCACTACTCCGCAACTCTGCCAGCTTCTGCGCTGCACAGTGTAGCCTGGTGTGTGCACAGATGTGTAACCTCTCATTCTGTCTCTTCCTGTGTGGCAGGAAGCCGAGGAAAGACGAGAACCTGAGCGAGGAGTCAGCCAAGGTGATTGCAGGCCTGCCTGACCTCTCCTTCATGCAGGCCAAGGTGCTGATGTTTCCTGCCACACTGATGCCACTCGGCTCCCAGGCCATGCCGGAATGAAGCCCCGCCCCTGGTCCCGAACGCATTCGTTTGGCCCCGCCCAGTTACCTGGTTGTCCTTTCTCTTGTTCTGCTGCAGCTCAGCCCACCCCATTCATACCCTTTTTTTCTTTCTTTACAGCTTTTGCTTTATGACCTAAATTTTCAAAATAAAGCAAAGCGTATATTTTACCATCAGGGGAGAAACAGCTGTGATGTGGAGGAGGGCGAATGGCCTGCTCATTAACAGAACAGGAGCCAGATAAGTCACTTGTAGAGCAGGTAATTACTAGAGGAAGGTCTAGCAGTGTGTGCTGTCCATACCTTGAAGAATCATGGTGTATATAATCAGGGATTTCATGTTTATTTTCCCTTTTTTAAATCCTGGATGATTTTGGAGGATTTTATGTCTCTGTGGTGGGAGTGTGTTCATGTCTGTGAAGGAAATACTGAAGCTCTGAATCAAACTGACGTGGAATATCTATATATGACAAATATAAATTAATGGGTTTATATACATATATAAAATCTATAAATATATATGTATCGAGTTGAAACCACACTGCCTGCAAAATCCAGCTGGATGTTTGTCCCCTAGTTGTTTTTACCTTCAGTCAGTAGATTTTAACCTGCAGTGCCCACTTTCTTTCTCCTTTTTTTTATAATTTCTTGTAGCGTTTTACCATGACTTCTGTCCACGCCCTCTGCCGCTGAGTTCTCCATGTGCCTCAGGTGCACAGGGTGGCGCTTTTCGGTTCTGTAGTTGGGGAAACTTCCACTGACCAAACACTGGTAAATCTCAGTCACCAGTTTAGTTTGTTGAAATGCTCCTGCTATTGAGGCCAGTGGCTGAAAGGTTTCCTCACTCTTTGCTGTAAGTTCTTGTTGTTTGGGGGGAAAACGGGACATTTGGTTAAAACCACTGAGTCAGCAGTGAAGGCCGATTCACGTCAGAAGCGAATCAAGGGACCAACGTCTGCTTCCATGTGTTGGCTTCTCACTGACACTGATATGAAGTGCTTTTTGTCGTCGCAGCTCCTCTTCTCATGTTTTGTGATATGTTGTTTCACGTTTGTTTTGCTCATACTACTGTCGACCCCATGTCCCAGGAGGGTTTTGCACATTGTAAAGATGAAATGGATGTAATCATAGTTCACTGTGGCTTCAGACTGTGTACAGTTAAGCTATGGACTGTAAAATGTACGGGAAAATTCCTATGGAAAAAAACTGAATCACTTGAAGAGCCTGTCAAAAGGTCATTGTGCATGCCCAGGTTCTCTGGAGACTGTAAATTTTACTTTTAGTGTAAACAAGAAATTAAAATAATTTAAGAGAAAGTGATTTTCTCTTGTTTTTGTCAGAGGGATGCAAAGCTTCAGTTTGAGATTAACGAGACTTCAGGTCATAATTCACCAGCTGAGCAGTGTGTTTTACATTTTCTTCAACTTAAAGATACAGAATGGTTTTTGTTTTTTTAAATCTATCTACATCTGAAACCAGCTCCCGCAGGGAGGGCAGTGTCAGGCGGGGTCAGGAAGGACTCCAGTGCTGGCAGCATCGATGACAAGATGGTGAAGGAGGGGAGAGGAGGTGGAGGAAGTTGGAGGCAGTTCTCCACCTGGGTGGTGCCAGGAGGTGCAGTAGAGAAGAAGAAGAGAGCACCGACCTACAGTCACAGCGGATGATGATGACGAAGGCCGTGGGCGGTACAAAGAGTGTACAGCCTCATGTTGGAGCATGGATCACGCCAGGGGCGCTAATCTTCTTCCAAACCCTCCTCATGTTTGTCCGGTGTCCGCTTCACCCTGTTACCCAGCATAGACCTGTGGAGACAGAAAGAGTTCAGAGAAACCTGTTACCTCCCAGCTTCCTAATTTGATGGTTTCTCAATCCTCGCTCAACTGAGGCTGTCCCAAAGCTCTTATTCCTACTCTGAGGAGCGAGGAGGCTGCTGGAGGAGCTGTGAGAGAGGAAATTGGAGAGCATCCTTCATGGAAATCTTTGGTGGACTGCATTTTAACTGAATGGTAACGGTGAAAATCAAGTGTAAAGATTCACTCTTAACCTAGAAACCAGCAGCCTGACAAAACTCAAGGTCAGGAGCTTTCACCCACCACAGAGGAAGACGGAGATGTGGTTGAAAGCTCTGGAAAGTGAGAAATGTGTTAAAATGTTGTATTTAAAGATCATACAAAGTCTGGGTGAAAAAGAAGTTTGGGCCTTGTTCACTATTTTGGAAAAGCACTGTGTGGATGTGTCAGCACAGACGTGCAGTGGTGGAAAGTAAGTACATTTACTCAGGTACTGTGTCTGTACTTGAGTATTTTCTGTTACTTCATACTTTAACTTCGCTACATTTCAGAGGTAAATATTGTACATTTTACTGCACTACATTTATAACTTTATTGTTACTTTTCAGGACCAGATTAATACAAATTGTTCAGTATAAGGCCTCACTGACCTATGGTGGAACATTCACAGGCTACCCAGCAGTACGACAAATTAAATGCATCTAAGCTCGTTAAAACTAGCTCAGTCTACCAGCTGCCTCATTAAATGGGATGTACACAGTAATGCCTCAGCACTTCTAAGATAATATGATGTACAGGAATGTGCAATGTACCGTTTTACATCATGAGCACTTTTAGCACTTTAAGTATGTTTTGATGTTAATACCTTTGTATGTAAGTAACGTTTTGAATGCAGGACTTTTACTTGTAACAGTATTTTACACAGTTGTATTGCTACTTGTATTTAAGTAAAGGATCTGAGTACTTCTTCCACCACTGCACACATGTTTACAGGCTAATCCTCAGCTGAGCTGCTGCTCTCTGCTAGTTTGTTTCTTATAATAAACCAAAGGTCCGGTAACTAACAAGCTATTGGCTGGTAAAATAAGTTCTCACCATTAACTGGCAGTAAAAACGTTCATTTCTCGTAGCCCTGCTCAGTTCTACCAAAACACTGGTAACTGTTCATCTTGCTGATAAAATAAAAATATTAATAAGCACAATGTTGTGATCGTGAGTCCAGTGCTCAAATTAAACAGTAAGCTTGGTTACACAAAAGAAGAAAAAAGTCAAATATGACATTTGTTATGGTGATTTTTATTTTTAAGTACATATGAATAGGATAAGTTGAGGTTTTTATTTTATAGCACACGTTAAGTCTACATACTTTTAATTCACAGTTATGTTTATGTAGTTACACATCACCCTATGTGTTCACTGAATCACTGGTCAATATTTATAGTCTTAGCCAACTGGAGCACTGTTTAACATCAAAGGGACTGGTTCACTAAAACACTGAATCTCATTAGATTTACAGCTTTGGCAAAGAGGGTCCACAGTTACTTTACTATCACCACCTGGCTGATGAAGCCAGGAGAATTAGGGTTCATTGAGACACTATGGTTAGTAAACAGAGATTAGATCTGAAGCCAGGACGAGGAGAAAACTTTAAAAGTAGAACTATATGCACACACAGAGTAGTTTTAATTGGAACCGGAAAGCAATGCCTAATACGGAGCAGTTAATTGGAAACAAAGGAAGAAGTAAGTGTCTATGTAGAAATTAAGGCAGTATAAGTATTCCTCCCCTTCCTAGGGCACTGCCCTCTACGATTGGAGCAGAAAGGACGGCATGTCGCCTAGGATCCTTTGCACCTTCTACAGCTGCATCAATGTCTGGTATGGCAGCACTACTGCTATGGACCGCAAGCGCCTGCAGAGAGTGGTAAAGACTGTGGAGAAGATCACCAGGACTCCACTGCCCTCTCTGCAGAGCATTTACCACCACAGGGTGTGTAGGAAAGCTGCCTCCATCCTCAAAGATCCCACCCACCCCCAGCACACTGCAAAAAAGGACTTTCAAGAAAATAAAAAGCCTTGTATCAAGGAAATAAGTCTTATTTTAAGTCCAGAAAGAAAATGTATCTGGTCAAGCATGGTTTGCTTTAGAAAAATAATCTCATTTTAAGAAAGTATGGCTAACTTTTAAGAATTCTTGTCAAGCAAAAAAATCTTACCCCATACTTATTTATCTACTTTATATTTCACTTGTATTTTGTGGCATTCATGTGGACGGCAAAGTAAGAATTTCATTGTACAGGGAAACACGTTTCCTAACTGTGCATATGACAAATAAACACTTTGAACCTTTTGAACCTTTGAGAAAGGACGTAGGAGGACGGACGGACTGACGGACCAACAATGGGAGAGTTAAGTCTAAACCACGGCTTCTCCCCAACAGTTTTTGACCAATTAGATAGTAGCACCTTTTGATACAAATATTGTAAACCGATAAGTTGAGGACAGTCTTTTCTGTTTTTCCTAAACAGTGAAGATCCATGTGCACATGCTAATTTTGATACGTTAATACATAATAAATTTCACACTTAAATATTTGTTTACTAGTCTTCTCAATTAAACGAACACGCCTCACACAATCACAGAAAGATATTTGCATCATTTCCTGTGTTTTGTTCACATAGTTCACTCCCATTTGTAGAAACCAGCCTGGACCCAGTATAAAACTGGTTTCCAGAGCCTCCCCCAACCGCCTCCAAAGAAGTTCCCGGAAAAGGGTGGTTGTTCTCGTAACATTTCTGTATAAAAGCTACGTATTTTTGCGGATAAGCCAGCGGATTGTGATCCCGACACTGAGTATTTGACGCCTTGGGAAAAAAGGCATTGTGTCATGGGTGTGGGTCTGTGTGGGTCTGTCACACCCATCATATCAAGCTGATATAGGGTCTCTTCTGCAGCATGGCTGTTGGTCTGCAGCGTGAGGCTTTGCATCCAACTCACCACATCTGTAATGTAGGCTCACAGGAATAACAGCAAAAAGGTGATGCTGAACAGAGTTCTGTGTTTCTGAGCACATGAAAAGATTAGTTAGAAACATGCTTCTCATTGGCCACCATATAATGATCATAGAGAATATGATGCATTGTTGTAGATTAAGCCACAAAACAATTTTTAAAAATGTTAAAGGCATCAGTAATACTATCATAAAAATACCATATTCAACATTAAAACACTGACAAGACCAATTTTTCTGTGTAATAGTACTTTAAGCTCCATGTAATCAAGTACTAGTACTTGTACTAGTTCTACAAGTACTATAAGCACCATTTAATCAAGTACTAGTAGGCCTATATTTTACAAGTAGAAATGAGGCTGGAATAACAATTTGTGTTCGTTGCAAAAAGTAAAAATAGTGCATTCCAAACCCTACCTAAAGCTCCACTTCTCACATAAACTTTATAAGCTTACGTACACGCTGTGTGAACGCCCATTCCCACAAGACTACATTACCCATGACTCCTAGCGTGTTGCATTTCCGGGTAGGAAGCGCTGACAGCCATATTTGATTCGATTATGCTGTTCTGTTGGAGACAACCAGTTTAACCAGGGCTTGACCAAAAGGAAATTAAAAAACAAACAAACGGTGTTTTCTTCCACTACGAGGCGAGCTCCAAGGTTCACCTGAAATCAAATTCAGCTGCATTCACAGTAACAACAGTTTATAAGCTGTAGTCAATGATGAATCCCGAATAGTAAGTGGGATTTCTGGTGTCGATTTTGACAGGTCGGGTTGAGCTGTCAGTTTAGCCAGGGAAGGGAAGCTAAACGAAGCTAAGCTAAGATAGCCTAGCCTAGCGTTACCTCTCCGGGCGGACCGGTACAAAATGAACGTCAGCTGCTTTGTCTTCGGTGCTAAGTTAGCGAACTGTGGGCTGTGGCAAGCAATGATAGCGGTGTTGTTTATCACCAAACTCAATTCTGCCGACAGGTTCTGATCAATATAACGACGATTAAATAGACTAAATATTTGTGTTCTGTCAGCTGCGGATGTGTTAGCTCGCTCAACCAAATGGAAGTAGCCTCAGTATCTAGCAGGCTAACTGTGAATAGCTACGTAGCCTTACTTGGACCTGACGCTGAGGATTTACTTGCTGATTTACATACATAGATTGGCAGACTTATAGCTCTGGACAAAGTCCTGTCAGTAAACACGAAGCTAATCGACATGTCTGAACCGACCCGAGTCAATTAACGGGGAAATTCTGTATAGTTGATCCCCAACAAAGAGGAAGTTGCTACATTTGCTCCTGATGTTGAGTTAGGTTTTATGAGTCAATTCATCATTAAACACCAGAAACGGGTGAGAACTTCACGACATCGTGTCTTGTTTTGTCCAACCAACATTCCATAACCTGAAGTGTTACTTTTATACAACAGTCATTTAAAACGAAGAAAAACAACAAAGCCTCACATTTGTTAGCACCAGGTGTTTATGACAAGTACTTATTGATTACATTGTCCATACATATTGATGAGTATATTAATAATAATTCTGTTCATGTGTTTCCGCACAGTGACTATTTATTCAAACTGCTCCTGATCGGTGATTCTGGTGTGGGGAAGTCCTGTCTCCTTCTCCGGTTTGCAGTAAGTGTCTGTTTTCTGCTGCTGTGTTATACAACAGGCTTGTAGGATTTTTCCCCATCAGCACTATGATGGTTAATAACCCTGCAGGTATCGTATCTGCCAGCCAGACCCACCTGTGTGTGTGTGTTTTGTCCTAGGACGACACGTACACAGAGAGCTATATTAGTACCATTGGTGTGGACTTCAAGATCAGGACCATCGAGCTGGATGGGAAGACCATAAAGCTTCAGATTGTAAGGAGGATGTAATGTACCATGACTATGAACAGATAGGAAGTGATAAGTGTCAGCGCCCTTTGTGTGCGTTTGGACAGACAAGCTGTGCTTTGTGTCCGCAGTGGGACACGGCCGGTCAGGAACGATTCCGCACCATCACCTCCAGTTACTACAGAGGCGCTCACGGCATTATAGTGGTGTATGACGTGACAGACCAGGTCAGTGCTTCTCTAGCTACAGCCAGCATGTAGTCTCACAGTAATATCAGTGATTTAATGAGCTTAATAAGGTGAACATTGTCTCAACCACACTGTCTGTGCTGATGATGGCAGGGGTCTGCTTGAAGCTGGCACAGTTTCATAGTCACACACTTGTTTATTGTTGCCTGTGTTAGGGTAGTGGGGGGTGTGGGTCTGAAACACTAGATGAAGGGAATATACCACATATGAACCAATAATAAGCTCAGTAAATTCATGTGTCAGCTAAAGTTCGGCAGCATCTGCTAACACCCAGGTTATCTAACGATGTGAACTGTTCATCACTGCTGCTGTGCACAGTGTGAACAGGGCCTGTGGTCTACACCAGCATTACTAATAATCAGCCCTGATGGTTAATTTAACACCATGGTGATTTTTTTATTTAACCATTTAGAATGCCACTGATCATAGCAACCTCTGTTATATGACAGACAGGACAAAACAATGTCAAACGGGAGTAAAACACATCACAACCTCTGTTATATGACAGACAATGTCAAACGGGAGTAAAACACATCTGAGATCAGCTGACAAAGTATCAGAGGTCCAGTATGCTCAGAACAGAGAAGCCTGGTGGTATTAAGGCTGAGAGCACAGACAGTTGATGAAGGAAGCGTTCACCACAGAGTTTATATCCAATTCAATATACTAAGTTTACGTCCACATTGAACCTTCATCGGTCATACACAGTCTGGCTTCGTCACTCACACCATGTGACGGCACTTTAATACAGTTAGAAACAATTAACTGCGCCTGCTCTAATACATTCACTTATACATTGTATTAAAAGCTTCCACAACTGTTACCAACAAACACTTTACATCCCACTGTGATGTAAAGGCAGTTACCAGCTTACATCTGTTTTAATCCTAAATTGTCATTAACAACTTTTGTCTCAAAGTGCAACACAAACATCAGAAATAAAATGTATTACTTCCTTTTCTTGTACACACAGTGGACAGGTTACCATCAAAATAAGACTCAGGGTTTCTGCAGGTCCTTAAAACGTTGTTTGACAGGTCTTAAAACTGATCAGTTGTGTTCGGTTTCAGTCGATGTTACTTCGATAACATTACGTTAACTTCAGTCATGTTTGGGGATCACACTGAGCAGACACAGTAGCACCACCTGCGCTGCGCTGGCTCCATGTTGTAGTTCTGTCTCAACACATCGTCTTTATCAGCTGTAGTAAAAGGTAACGCAGTGCGGACGTGCAGGTTTTACTGAGAGCTGGACTGAAAACACTGTTTGTTTGGATCCCCTCAAAAACAGACTGGTCTACACACCATGCACCGGAACATCAGGGTCGGAGTCATTTATTAGGCTTCAGCATGACGCCTCAGCTGATCCTCCTTCATGTCCTTCAGACAGTGTGGGTGTGACATATCCTTAAAAGTCTTGACTAGATGGAACCTGTCCCAAAGTCAGACTATGATGTTGAGTCGCCCCTTAGGGACCCTTCCACTCTCAGGAACGACCAGCAGCACAGTGAGTCACAGTAGCAGCTCATTCAGACTGGGGAGATGAGCAGTGGCCAGAACAACAAACACAAGTTTGACTATGGAAGCCAAACAAAAAATAAAAAGAAATAAACTCCCAAACAAAAACAAAAGAACAGACAAAGGATTCGACACTGTCAGCGCTGCTACAACAGGTACCTCACAGATGTACAAGCTCCAAACGGCACACATCTAACCACAGGTTCGTTAGCCTGTAACAAACCTGTTGTGCAAGGTGACTGTCACTCACTGACACACAGCAGTGCACACTCACTGCAGACTGGCTGCTGCTGGGAGTGGCAGAGGTGGCGCAGGGAAGCTGAGGTTAAATGGACTGCTGTCATCTGCCCGTCCCATCTGGATGCACAGATCCCTTCAAACGGGCCAATCAGGGGGCCCCACCTGTTGCTCATCACACACAAAGAAAACAGGAAGGAGTGACCTGTCAAACCACACAAACACAGTAATGTCCCAGAGCTACAGCGGTCTCACGTTTCCTCTGCCCGCACACAGTCGGTGCAGCTGTTCTGAGTCAGCGATACTTAGTCAGGCTGTGTGGTGTCACCTTTAACACACCGCAACCAGTCGGAGCCACAGACCTGCCCTGGCTCCTCGTTAGGTTGCCTGTTTTACACAATAGATAACTGATCCTCATAAGCAGGTGTCAGAGCAACAGAAACGACACAAAGGAAATGAACAATAGAGATGCACCATGAATCAGAATGAAATCAAAGCTGTTTAAACATAGTTTTAACATAGTTCCTGTTCATATTCAGGGGTTTTCACCTGTTCAGTGCATTTCCTGTCAGCATGTCTTACACCATATTGCACCCTGGATGTCACTCATCCACCATGTGACTGAAACAGTAGTGGTTTTGTCTGTC